AAAAAAAAAAAAAAAAAAGAGACCCCCCTCCAGAAGCTAAATATCTCTAAGAATTTTGACCCCTTTTAACTAGGCAGTTTGCATGGAAAAAAAAAGAATGAGTAATAGAGTGTGAGCTGGAAAAGTGATTTGTCTGTCCTATGAGATGCTCACACAGGGCTGGCATCGAAATTGGTTGCCTGTAGAATGGCTGGAGAGAAGGCATTATTAAGCCTCTGTGTCCCCTCAGCCTCCCTAGAACAGGGTGACCAGGCGGGAACTGTGGGTGCCCCAACGCTCACAGCACTGCCTACCGAAACTCAGTAAATGTGTGCACCTCCATTTGCTCCTAAAACACTTGGCACTCTGAACTCTGGCCTCTGAAAGACAGACATCAAGTTCACTTAGGAAACATATGTGCTAATCTCAGAAGAGTGAAGGCATTCCAGAAAGAGTCAAGAGGTTTATATAGTACTGGATGCTTTTCCTAGGAGTTTCTGAAATGAAAGAAAAAAGGCAAACTTTTCAGAATGGGTGTGGGGAAGGGGAAAAGGTGGGATTTTATGTGATTTAAATTAAAGAATAAGGGCCGATTATTCATGATTATCTTTTCTCTATCGAGAAAAACTCACGAGTGACCCAGCGGGCCCTAGGTCGACCCTTACATCAGAAACTGGGCCTGGGATCAGCGGCTACTGACTCTTTTTTACACCAACAGTAAGTTCGCTACCTGCCATATGGCATTCCCTGGCCTTTATGTTTGAAGGTTAATACACACAGCCTACCTGGATAAACCCACATGAAAGGTGCAATGCTAACACTAGAATTCCTCTTGGAGAGTTAGAAAATTGCTAGGCATTATTTTTGGAAAAGGTCAGCAGCAGCATTAGGCTAGACGAAAGAGCCCCAGACTTCAGGGAGGTCGATTGGGGCCTGAATATAAACTCTCCCATGTGTTCGGGGTGTAATTCGGGTTTGTTAATTCTCCTCCTAACCTCTCTGGACCCTGGTTTGCTCACCTGTAAAACAGAGTAATAATATCTGTCCGGCAGCATTGACAAGGATTCACATTTTTTTCAATGTGCAAATGCCAACTCACAGGACCTGGCACATAAAAGGCATTAGATACTGCTTGTTTAATGATAATAAAAACGCAGACTTTACAAAAGGGGCTCGTGACATTAAAGAACACATGGGAGAGTTTATATTCAGGCCCCGATCGGACCTCCCTGAAGTGAAAATGAAGTATTTTAAATCTCAAATATTGTATCTTTAATTCGGCAAATGTAATGCTGAAACTCCAAATCCGGGAAAATAAAACAATATCTAATATATTTTTTTAAAAGAATTTCAATTGTATATTAGATTTCTGTCTAATTTTCTTCCCTAGATTATTTCTCAAAGTTACCAAGAAGGTTCCCTGACCCTCTTATCTTTTCTACCTTTTTAAAAGAATCTCTCTTTTTTTTTTTTTTTTTGGCAGCCTTGCTCATTTCCTCACTCTGGAGAGTCACGTACAAAATAAAAAAACAAGCAGTGAGAAGATGAGAGTGTACATCTCTGCAGATATTAATGCTGCTGGTGCTGAGCTGACGCAGAAGGGTGTCAGAGAAATATTTCTCCGGGGTCAAATGGGGTGGAGGTGAGGAAGGTCAATCAGGCCAGGAATACAGGAAGGGAGAAAAGACTGGATGCTAATCAGCCCAGCCATTCATGTATACAAAACTGTGCTTTGCAATGGTGAGCTTTACACAAGATCCAGGCCAGAAAGGAGGCTGTGCCCAGGGACAGGCCTAGCACGGAGAGGAGAGAGATTCTCGCCTTGTACACAAAATTTAAGGGAACACCCAAAATTTAGTGATTAAGATGCATAGTATTTTAATGTAGTATTGTTCAAAATAAAAATTAATACAAAGAGCTATAATGAAATAGCAAAGTTTTAAAGAAAGATGGATCTGACCCTGAACTTGCAGGACTCAACTCATTAATCCCAGCCTTCTCCGATCCATCTTTCTTTAAGGTTTGATATTTTCCTGCAGATCTTTTTCGCGTTATTTTTTTGTCCTTTATTTTTATTTTATTTTTCTCTTTAAGTAGGTTCCACGCCCAGCATGGAGCCCAATGCGGGGCTCAAACTCATGACCCTGAGATCAATACCTGAGCTGAGATGAAGAGTTGGATGTTTAACAGACCGAGCCACCCAGGTGCCCCCATTTTTTGCCCTTTATTTTGGCATTAAAATACTATATATCTTGATTTCTGCGATTGTTGGTGCCCCTTTAAATTCAGTGCCCTAAGGGAGGTTCTCACCTGCCTTACCCTAGTCCTGGCCCTGCCTGGGTGCAAAGGGAGCTGCATGAAAGCAGAGAGAGTCTGCTTGGGAGCTCACTGGGAACCAGTGGGGACAACTTCTAAGTAGCCATTCATGGTGCTTTTCAGAATCCCAACACTCAGTTATCTTTTCAAGTCCATGTAAGAATAATTATTGGTAGGTGACAAAAGCAGGCAACGGAAACATGGATCTCACACTTGTCTTTATTGGTAAATGTGTTTGGCTCTGAATTATCAACTACATCACAAATTCCAGTACAACAGATCTCATTTCCATGTACAGGGCTATATAATAGAGAATTCCAAGCTCCACTGCTCACTCATCCATTGACAAGCCCTGGAGTCTCTGAGCAGACTAAAAGAATGCAAGTCATGTTTTAGGTCTGCTCTCTTGCATCCGAGGAGAGAGGAAAATAAAGTGGAGCAATGCGTAGCAGTCCACAGAGACCCCTCCGAACCCATCCCCACAGACGGTGGTGCAGCATCAGAGGGCCGAAGGGCTGAGACCGGCTGCCAAAGGCTCACTGCCCATGGTGGGGAAGCAGGGACACCTCCAAGAGGGGATGGGTGCAACACTCAGACCTGGCATGGAACCAGCATCCATCTCACCCAAGTTCCTTCCTTCAAAAGTGGGCAGAGGTTGTGGGCTCCATGAATTCACCCCCCACCCATCAACCTCTCCCAGAGCTCTGCCCACACACAGAAGCTCCGCTCTCAGTAACACAGATCTCTTCAAGAGAACAAAAGATGCATTGAGGTGTTGACACCAAGGACCGTACCCACGTGTCAGCTATTAGACCCAAATCTGGCCAGGATCTACTTCAACTGGAACTTGGGGTGCAATGTGTAGGAAAGGGCAGAGAGTACATGAAGCCCAGAAGAGAAGCACGATTCAGGAAGTGAGGGGCAATCTTACTGCCTTTGCTACTTGGCCATCCTCTCCCTCCCCAAACTCAAGAGTTCAGGAATCTAAGGCAGAGCGACCCATCGCCAATATCTTACAAATGAAATGAGTATTCTCCTCTTCCAAAACCAATGTTGATAAAAGTCTAGACAGGGCTCAAGGAAAACTAAAACCTTATATGTAAAGGCAAACAAAAGCTCTCAGGAGGGAGAGAAACACCCTTAGAAAGAAACAAACGGCCTCTCTCAATAAGGCTCCAGCAGGGAGACAGATGCAGATCTGCTTCTGTGGGTATCAGCAAATGGCGCTGATGGAAGTTGGAACTGGGAAGAAGTGTAATCATTAGCATCATGGTTCCTGAACCCCGAGAAGAAGAGGGAGAGTGGGAGCTTGAGAGGGGCAGAGGGATGGATATTTATGGTTCAGAGGGAGTAAACCAGGAGAGAGACAGTATGAGACCAGTTAGTGCTCAATTAATAGAAAGTTAAGAATCTGAGTCTTGTCTCTCCAGGTAACAAGTTAATTTCTCTCTGTTCTTTTAGCCGCAGACAGAAGGCCAACTTCTGTTACTCTGAAAGTGAGCCGTGGTCAGGAGCAGGGGTGGGAATGAATACCCGGTGTGAGGGTAGAAACGGACATGGACATCCACCCTTTCCTGCAGGAAGACAACTCAGGTGGCTGCTCCATGGTTCTGTCTCTGCTTATTTGACCAGTGGACATATCACGTAATCTCCTCTAGTAAAGGCATTCTCTAACATGGAGACTAACTCTTTTGATATCATTAGGGTAGCATAGGATTTTATCCTGTCCCCTCTATATCAACCACTTTATTGGAACTTTAGGACTATGGGACTCAGTCTACATGTCATCATTACCTAATAATGATCTTGGTTTCCGCTTTAACACACCCAGAAGGTCAACGGCATGGTTTAATAAATGTGCGAAGTAATAACAACAGGATAGAGAATGTTGATGTCTACCCATATTCATAGCATGTACAGTAACTGATAAGAGTAATTTAGACACTAGGCATTAGCATTAGATTTTTGTTTTCTTCCTAGAATTCTCCCCTCCCTACCACCCCTGTTTCGGTTCAAGCTCACACCAATCTAATCTCTTACAAATTACAGGAATCTATCTGTTCTGAACTCATTTTTAGAATCTCTCAATGTTAATACCAACACTGACATACTCCCTATGTCACACTATTGATAGAGGTCCCCTTGCCAGAAACCCAGTGTAGGCCTCGATACCTGAGGCACCCAAAGAGGAAGCCTTTCAGGATAAAAAGTCTGGAGAGCATTGGGCAGCTAACTCCATCAAGTTTCGGTATGGCTGAACGACTAAGGGGACATTCCAACTTATCAGAGGCCCTTGCACAGCATGGGGGATCCTGGGTGGAAGAAAGGCAGCCCCTAAATAACGAGAAACATACTAGAGATAAGCAGCCTGGTCCTTAAGATGCAGTGTACTCAGGTCCCTGAGAGGAGCCAGGCGGCCAGGGCCGGCAACTAGGGGACAAAATGTGATCATCTGCTTCAGCTGAGCGATAAACCACATTTGGAGTCATCGAAAGTGTTGACCCGAAACCAGTGCCGTCCACCTGCCTTTGCAGAACAAGGAGCCTCTTACTTCTGGAGTCTTCCCAGCTCACGACACGGTCCTCATTTCCTCAATGACACTCACCATGTGAGAGCTGAACACCTCTGGGTTTAGGGTCCCTACAGACCAGACCTGAAGTGGCCAGCCATGTTCGGCCCCCCAGCCTATCTTAGCCCCCAGGTACCACCAAGTAAATAGGAAATCTGAAACTGGCAATAATATACTCAGCGTGCTTCCTACGACTTTCCAGCACAATCTACCCAGGGTGAACTGTTACCACGGAAAGATGAACAAAGCCCAGTACGAATAAAGGCAGAGGCAAAAACAGACTGCATATCACAGGACATTAAAAGGATATTCACAGGACTGGAAAGCCATATTTATATATTCCAATGATATCAGCTGCTATCTCTAACTGTTGGACTTACGGGTGATTTTTAATTTGATCCTTATTTCATCCTTATCTCTTATGTTTTCCAAATTTCCTACTGTAATCTCTATTATTTCTTTTTTATTTTAAAGTACCTCATTTTAGGGCAGCTGAAGGCTCTTGGGGGTAACTAAGACTTAATTCTGTCTTACCAGCAGAAATCATCAGGCCTATACCACCTAGGGTGACCGATCCATTGTGCTTTGTCTGGGACAGTCCTGTTCCTAGGAATCCTCTCAGTCCTGGTGGTCACTCTAATACCCACATTCCTTTTTCCTTTAGGCACAAGGACTGCCTTCTAAGTTTCCCCTCTTTGAGGAGCTCAAGCATTCCAAAAGACACAGCCTTCTCTCAGCAAAAGGGAGCAGGCTCAGAGAGAGGGCAGCAGGGATCCAACATGGATCCCTAAGGGGGGTCCTGCTTAGGGGCTGAGCCTCGCAGCAAGAAGACCTTTGTGCTTGGCTATCAGGTTGAACGAAGAAGCAGGTCTCATTCCAGTTCTTTCCTGTCCGTGGTATGGAGCAAATTCATCTTACCCGCTTTTCAAGAGAAGTGACAACACCCAAGGAAAAGGACACTCAAACAAACGAGCAACCACAACATTGGCGAACGTAAGGAGAACATGGAGAGTGGGCCTATGGGTAATCTGAGACGAAGCTCAGCCATGGTGGGTCACCCTCTCAGACTGGCAGAATGAGCGAAGACGGAGAAAATCTGCACTTCACAAGGAGGAAACCTGCACTCTGTTAGAAGAGCTGCCATACAGGATTGAGCCTCACACCCCAGAAAAACTCCCATCAAGCTGTCTCTACTTAACCATAGGGAGCACTCAGTTGTTCCCAGCATCTGGGTAGCAGGGGCTTCTTAGCAACGTAAGAGGCTCCCCTACATTTGTGTTTGCTGAGCTGGTCCTGGTCCACAATCTGCTGGCATGTGCAAGGGTGGCCAAATGGAAACCAAACTGGGGGTGCAGTTTGATTCAATTCCTCCTGTTGGTACCCACGCTCCAGGGGGCTGGGCCTGGGTCAATGTCCAGAACAAATGCATTAGGATCCTGCCTCTGCTGGCAGGCTCCCAGGACATCACGGATGATTTGGAGAAATTGGAGGGAAATGTCTGAGGTGGGGGGCATGCCTAGTTCCATCTCAGGCTGGCTGATGGTGTGGGAGTAAAAACAGTTCTGAGAACATCATTAAGCGTGTCTCCCCCTCAATCCATGGTCATTTTTCCCTGTTAGCCATTCAATGTAGGCTTGGAGTGGTTTCCCTAGAAGGTCCAGGTAGCCTATGACTGGCTGGCATTTCTTTTTTGAGAACAAATAATATCACCCAGGGGTCAAATGCTAATAAAATGACATCTCTCATCTCACTTAGTTTTAAGTGTGCTTGGAACGGGATTTGCTAACGAATCTTCATTTCAGTGGAATTTGTAACATGGCTTACATTTTAAATGTAATTATGCAGCATGTATTCATTTCCTTTCTTCTAGGGAACTCAAGTTGCTTTTTAAAGCATTATTTGATAGCTTCTTGCCATCTCCTCTGGAGTTGAAAAGAGAATATGATATCAAGCTGTTCTAGCTAGCAATGGGGAACTATGGCACCGAGAGGGAAACAGAATTAGACTGGGACCTACAGATTCGAGCCATGAAGACCCCCGAGGGACGAGTTGTCAACCCAGTGTGCTGTAAACGAAGCCTTTTCTAAGGATCCTAAAATAACTGCATTCTCCCTCCGTCCTAACACTCATGCTGGGCAGAATGGGCTAAGCTTATTTTTAAAGTGCAGGTCACAGCCTTCAAAGGGATATAAACAGTTCCCAAAGCAGCTATTACTTGGCCGATTAAATGCTTAGAAGAAAATATACTTTTGAAAGACAAAATTAATAGGCAAAAGATAGAGAAGAGTGCCAGAGCAATTGTTTCTACCTGGTGTTAAATCCTGTCCCTGACCATCGAAATGGACCACAGGCCCAGGCTGTAGCGAGGCTTGAAGATAAGCCTGGGTAACTCTCAGGACCCTCATCCTTTGATCTAATGAGCTCCCGGGGTCCTGGATGTAAGTCAGAATTTGTGCTCGTGTGTACTCAAAATAACGTTGCAAATACATTCAAAATCTCTGCATTTCTGTGGAAAGTATTGCCTCCAATCCTCCCCTTATTGGCAACATGATGATAGTGTGTGTATGGCAGTTAAGGGGAGCAGGCGGAGTGCCTGTGTGATCTTTTCAACTACAGTTAAACACGCTCCCTCTCCTTATTATGTCTTATTTCCCTAGTCTTAGCTGGTCTAGGAATCTGTGCTTATCTACATCATTGCCTAATAGGCATGAAACCAATGAGAAGACACACGTGCGTACACACACACGCGTGAACTATAATACCTGGGGAAGTATGGCACACTCTGCAGGAAATCAATAAATATCCATTTTTCATTGGAAGCAGAATCAAAGGGGACAAGTCAGAGTTCTTTATATGCATCTGCCACAGGGAGTTACAGCCCTAGGTACTCAAAGAGGGCATGCACTACAAGGACAAACTCATACAGTTCAAGAGACAGTTCTAATTTAATTCTGGCCCCAGGCCTAGGACCCTAGCTAATTTACAAGGCTGTCTAAGAAAGACACACATTTGGAGATGACAATAAGTATATACCATTTGTTTTTCTTGCAGGGGAAGCTATAACGCATTCCCACCCTTCAAAAGAACCCCAGATCGATGATTCAGGGGGTCGGGGGGGGTTGCTGGTTAGTGGTTCTTTCTTTCTCTTTTTCTCAACTCAGAAGGTGTGTTTCCATTGTACCCTGTCAAAGTTTTTCCCAGTAGTCAAGGAGAGGATAGCACATGGCTGCCCTTGAGCCGAGTTTGTAAATCCTACTGGGAAACCACCCCATGCTGTCAGATGAAGTGGTTTTCAGACACGTCTACACAGACTAGTTGAATTAAAGACCAACTCCAGACTTGATGTTGCTGAGCTCCTCAGCTCCATCTTGCCATCCTGATTGATCGAGGAGATGGGTCTATAGTTAAAGTGGCTTTAGCACTTTGAGGGCTTAGTCATTAGAGCATACTGCTTTCTCTTTGGAAGGCAACTTCTTGCTTGGCTAGGTTATGGAAGCTAAGGAGTGACGTCAAGATGTTGTCTGGCCAGAATTTGCAGATAACCATAGAACTCTTCTCCTCCATCAGGCATGGATTTAGCCTCCTTTAGTTCCTGCAGTGACATAGGAGCCTCCAAATACCAAATTATTATCAGGCGGTCTTGGGGGAACCTCTGGGCCCTGCAATAAAGTAGACAGACTTGCTATTGGAAAGTGCTCGGGAGCAATGCAGCCCTGTTCAGATTGCTCTAAAATCCTGCAAACCATCTCTGGACTCTTTAAATGAATCCACTCACATAGCTCCTGAGAGTGAAAAAAGTACTTCAGGGGATATAATTGATCATCATCTTTTGCTTAAGTGATCTTACACATCATTTAAAGCAATCTGGTTTGATCCTGTTCATTTGTTCGTTTGCTGTTTTGTTTTTAAGACAAAGCTATACAAGCATGGAGACTCTGTCATTTTGGACAAGCCACTTCTGAGGGTTGTTTGTAAAATAAGGTGTATTAATTGATCTTTAAGGTCTAACTCAGGGGTCACAAACAGATGGTGGACTATGGACCAACTCTGACTCATACTGATAAAATGTATTGATTCCACACAGTGTTTTAAATCTGAGGGAATTCATATAAAAATAATAAATGCTGTTCTTGCTGGAAAACTGAGAGGATCTGGTAATAGCAGGCCAATGTTCTGGGAAGGCCTTCACAATGCCACATCATCTTTCTGACCCAGCCTACTTCTCATATGACCTGCCTGATCCTATAGGTAATTAGGGGTTAGGACACTTGCTCTGAGCCATTCTATCAGGGCATGCTGTGATTATATGATTGTATCTATAACCACTGGTGTTCCCAACAAGGTTCCCTGACAGTATAGAACATGCTACCATCCTCACCAAATCTCTGCGTTCTTTAGCATTGTAAAAGTGTTGTGGGTAGTCAATAAATATTTAATGAATTGAAATTTACCTTCTATATTAGGTTCTTACAATTCAGTGAAATGAGATGGGGCCATTCCTTGTAAGATCACATATCTGTTCTAAAGCCAACATCTTTGAATAGGATGTAGATTAAGGAAAAAAGAAGTAAATATGCTGGTTTGTGGCCCATGCCTCTAATGGAGTCCAAAGGTTGGTGGTGTCTTATCCATGGGGTATTTTGTTTTAAGTATACGGCAAAAGTCCTAAAATTTTTCCGAGATCTTCTTTTTTTTCTTTTTTAAAGATTTTATTTATTTGACAGAGAGAGACACAGCAAGAGAAGGAACACAAGCAGGGGGAGTGGGAGAGGGAGAAGCAGGCTTCCCGCCGAGCAGGGAGCCCAATGTGGGGCTCGATCCCAGGGTCCTGGGATCATGACCTGAGCCGAAGGCAGACGCTTAACGGCTGAGCCACCCAGGCGCCCCCCCGAGATCTTCTTAAATTTGTTTTTCAAATGCAACATATCCAACTTCTTGGAAGATGCCTTCTTTAGAGGTTCTTTGAAGGTTAGTTTGTAAAAATATTCAAAGGGAATCACTTGATTGAATGCTGAACTCCCAAAATTTCATGGGTCTATAGCAACAAATCTTTGTATGTCAGATCTATGTATTTTTAAATATTTTAATTTCTGGATGACTGCAATTAGAATGTTCAAAGAAAGGGTTGTTTTTTTTGGGGGGTCAAAAGCTTTTTTCTGCTAAATTGTTATCTAAATCTGGTTAAGTTGGCTAATATATTGTTAAAAATATGTCTAACAAATAAACTACTGTGTAGGCAAGGTTAATAGGAGGAGAGCCAATGAAAAGGGCTATGGTTCATCTTTACTTGTTATAAGTCTGTTGGTAGTTAATATTTCAGTAATACATAGCCACATGTGGTCAACATCTGGCCAAGAGCAAAGGTACATCATGTCCTTTGCTATGAAGGAATAGTTCAACAGATACAGTTCCTGCTCTTTAGGAGCTTACAGTCTAACCTAAACAAGACTACAGAAACACATACATGAGAGTGGTCAGACTCAGGACTTAACAAGAGGCAACAGATACATTAAAGATAAAGGAAAAACGAAAATATGGGATAAAGAATGACATTTAAGAAAGAATGAAGAGAAGGAAACAAGTGAACTGCTTCTTCATTCCCATGTATTTGAAAAAGATTCATGGACAATGCATGATGTGAAGTGTTCTTAAAATTATGAAAGAGCATATGGCTTGATGCCTGGAAGAAAGAAAACTTCTTCTGATGTAAGATGCTGTGAATGCCTGAGAACACCGAGCTGGGTAAGGACCACTGGGTAGAAGGGTCCCACAAGACTTTATAAGGAAGGGATAGCTAAATGGAGAATCAGTGGTCTAGAGCCCTCTGGTAGAGGACAGAAACTGAGGGGAGGCTACAAGTCTCCTAAACTTGCTTCCCATGCCTTCTAAAGAGTGGTGGCATAGAGTGGCCGAGCCACAAAAACACAACTCCTCCAAAAAAAACAAAATGTGTAAATAAAAACCTTTGCAAAAATCTCCATGGACTCTAGATTAAGGAAACCACCTTGAGAAAGTTTCTGTGAGACATCTAAGGGCCAAAAGCACTTCCAGATAGAGCTACAGACTCAGCGGCCACATACTCCACCTTCTTTTTGGTTCTCATTTGTTGGTTTGCTTTCTTGTTCATTGGTTCATTTTCTCTTATTGGATATGTTGGGCTGATGCTATCTACTTGGTTAGTGAGCTTTATATTTCCCCATCGACAAAGGAGAACAAACTTTTGAGGACAGGTTGATTTTTTCAACCTCAATTATAATACAGCCTCAGGCTAGCTGAAGTATATCACACAGCCTGGTACCGATGGTGACAGGGGTGTCAAAAGACTCTCTTTCTAGAGAGCACAATCAAAATGATGACAGATTTTCCCATCATAGGACCCTGCTTTGCCTTATTCAATATTTGACTGTTAGGCATGTAGGGTATTTCAAAGACCTCTGGAGGATGCTTATCTCTGCAAAGAATGCACATTTTAAGCAGTGCCCCCATGCATCTTGTTCACACCATAACAGACAATGTTAGGATTAATAATACCTTGATTTCAAACAATAGCTTTTTAGTTCAAGGAGCTCAATATTCCTCATATATGGGATTCTATTTATCTTGTCATAGTGCATATTCAACTGAAATCTATGGTGGGGTCCTGTCTCACACATTACAAGCTCATAATCCTGTTCTTCCTAATGATTACATTCAAGTTCAATATTCACCATACCTTGGGGTAAATCTGAATGAGTAGGAGAAAATTACAGGTGTTTCCTTATATACGAAAAGATACTCATTGCTAATCCCCTTTATCCCGTGAGAGTTCTTAGTGGAAAGTTAGTCCCCAAAATCTGACTTTGCAATTTCCCACCTTATCTCGGAGGCAAGGCAGGAGAACAGTACTTAAGATGGAGTAAGAATATGCCAAATAGGGAGAAGATGCCCATTCATCAGTGTCAGGTGGACCCCTGAGATCTAGGCCACCTGATGTTCTAGCCCTCATGGCCCCTTATTCATGTATGAAGAAAGGCCTGTCGTTCCAATGGCATAAGCTGTTTGTCCACTGTGGTTTTATTTTTTGTTTTCCATAAGGCTATGCTCCATTTTTTATATTTGAAGATAGGATAAGAGTCTCTGAGAGAAATTCCAAGTTTCTCAACAGAGGCTAATAGGTTAATTTGGTTCTGAGTAGTATAGGTCATTGCACTTAATATGCACATCATCTGTTGTGGTATCTCTTTGTTATTGTGGCATAACAAGTCTCATACTGGGAACAAGGACTGAACAGAGAATACAGATCTAACCGAATTGATACCCACCTGTGTGCAACACAGAACCTTGCTAACTACCAGCACTGTATATTTTAATGACTTTCAATAAATCAAATTTAAAACCCACCAATTGTCTGTCTTTTGTAACTGATGAATATGCAGTCTAATGATACTTCCGGTTTCTGTCTCTATCTTTTTCAAGATAAGCATGCCTCGATTCCAACCTCATGGCGATAAATGGTTTTGGAAAATGGATCCCAAGAGAAGTCCATATCTGCCCACAGTTCCAAGCCCAGCAGGACACACACCCTGAGAATTCCATAAGCAGCAAACTAAAGGATCTGTCCCATAGGCCCAAAGCCCCAAGGATCCTCAGACATTTCACTGCCCCCTCCCCTCAGTCATCCTCATCAGGCACTCTGATAAACACGCTGATAGATACCGCTCTGCAGCAGATAGGCCAGTAAGTATTAACAGCTGTACTTACATGTGTCTGGCTTGAGCTGACTGTTGGTGATGCCAAAGTACTGGGGATTTTCAATGACAGGGATCTTGGTCATTCCAATAATGACAGCATCGGGGCCGCCCTCCGAGGATGATGGGGTGTTACTCCCATTGGAGATGTGGTGGAGTGGGCTGGCAGAGTCATCATCATTGCTGATAACTGAAGCTGGGCCTGGATTTGGAAAAAAATACATATTATCCTGTAATTTTGTAATGCCCTTGTTGAGCTATAATTCACATACCTAAAGTTCACCCATTTCAAGTGTACAGCTCAGTGGTTTCCAGTATATTCAGAAAGTTGTGCAGCTTTCACTATACTGTGATTTTAGGACATTTTGATCATTCCAGTTAGCTTCCCCAGGCTCCCCACTCCCAGCCCCAGGCATCTGCGAACTTACTTTCTGTCTCTATGGATTTCTTTTCTGTCTCTATGGATTCGTTCTGGACATTTCATATAAATGCAATCATATAATATGTGATCTTTTGGAACAGGCCACTTTCCCTTAGCACACTTTTAAGCTTCATTCACGTTGTAGCATCTGTCATTACTTTATTCCTTTTTGTTGCCAAATAATATTCCATGGTATGGATATACTCCATTCTGTGGATCCATCCATCCACTGAGGGACATTTGGGTGTTTCCACATTTTGACTGTTGTGAATAATGCTGCTATGAACCTCTGTGTACAAGTTTTTGCGTGGACATACGTTTTCATCTCTCCCGGGCAGAACTGCCAGGTCATGTGGTAGCTCTCTGCTTAACATTTTGAGCAACTGCCAAACTGTTTTCCAAAGTGGCTGCGCCATTTTCTATTCCCACTAGCAGTGTGTGAAGGTTCCAATGTCTTGATTTCCTTCTCTGGTAAGTTAATATGCCGCTTTGCTCTCTGTTCTCTGAACATCTTTAGAACACTCGCTCATTGAAAGTCGCAGCATGAATGCAGGATTCCTGTGCCACCATATACTGAAAGGTGTACTAGCAGTTCAAAGATCTGAGTGCTTCTCTCCACTCTTTGGACAAGTCACTTACCTTTTTTTTTGTACCTCTACACCCACTTAAATTTGTAAAATGTGCAAAAGAATATCTGCTTGTTATTTTATGAGACTCGTGATAGAGAAGTATATTATAAATTTAAAAGTGTTCATGAGTATGAATTACTATTAGATATTACTAAATAAACATACAACAGGCGGACTAAAATTTCTTTGGGTGGTCCTATTACTATGTTGGTCTTTCTGCATACCTTGATAGCAGCAACACCACTCTTGCCTACAAAATACTTTTATGACGATAATGGATCGAGTCCATGCGAAGTTACCTGCTTTGCCTTTAGCCCTAATCTTATTTGTAGATCATTCCATGGATGTCTTTATACTAACGCGATAACCGTAGCATTTTTCACACAAGACCTAAACTTTCTAGTCTCGAGTTTAAGAACGTATATGCCCATAAGCAGGGTCTACTGTGTCTTATCTAAACAATTTATCTATTGACCACTAAACCCATCCTGTCTGCAGACAAAACCAGATGCACAATGACAAAGGTCTATGTGAAAGCTTCAAAACAACTAAGGTCTCGCTGGCTCATGATACACACTCTATACAAACCCGCTAGACATGTATTACATATGTTTCTGCAGTTTGCTAAGCAGCTGCAGGGCCCCATGGAAATGGACTGCTGGCCACACCCGCTTGCACAAGCCAAGAGAAACAGAGGAGGGAAAGGTAAGGAGGAAAAGCAAAAGACAGAATCAAATATCAGTCAAGGCAACCGCGTACCAGGGGAAGAAAAGCCTGAATTGCTACCTGCTGAGCAAGGGATTGTGCTTTAATTCACTCACCCAGAATACATACTTCCAAACCTCCATCCTTTCTCTGCCCTTTCCCTCTCAGTTAATTAACGATTTCAATGAGAGGCATGGTAATTCTAAAACCAAAAGTCATTGTGCCATACATTTTGCAGCCCCCTATGAAAGATACTGGTAATCCGTCCCCCGACCTCCAAGATGCATTCCCCCCTGCTCCGCCCCAGAAGGGGATTATCACAGTTTGCAGTGATAACAATTGGACATTCCCCAGCTAGCTGAATCTTAAACAAACTATGCAGGAGGCAGCCAAGTGCTATTATAGGTAATTTTTTAAAGCGCCTTCTCAAGGGGATGTGCATTTCAGTCGCCTTTAATGATACACTCTGGCTTAATTCTGCAAACAAGTCCTCACACAGCCAATTTAGAATCTGCAGAATACTCAGAGCAAAAGCAAGCTCGCTGGTTGTGCTCATCCTGTGCCTAGCTCACCGGCATTAGTAAAGAGTGGAAATTCTGCCAAGAACAGCTATAAAGACAAGTTCTTTCCAATATCCTTAACCATCCCTGTTTTATGATTTGCTTCCTGACAGGCCTAGATCACCCAGAGCTTAAACCCAGAGATGGAAAATGGAAATGTGTTATGTTAGGGTTTCTGCATCTTGCCAATAAAACCTTCCCACCACTGGCCCCCTCGCTGTGTTCCTGGCGCAGCTGTCTCCCTGCCCCCCCTTCCAGGTTACCAAAGCATGCTACTGCCTGCGCTCCCCGAGGGGGGTGCAATCAAGGTCGCACATTTCTCAGCGTTTACCCCCTCGAAGTGCGGGAGCTGTCATGTTCAAGTACTCCACATGTTGTCAGAAGGCCAGCGATATTTGCTTCTGGAGCCCTTGTAATCATTAGAACGCACTGATCCCAGTTGCTTTCTTCTGTGACTCTCCCCTGGCCCAGGTCAGGCTATGAACATTCCTCTAGCATTTAATCATTTTGGAGGAAGCTGATATCCAGAAGACAATGCTGAGATTCCTCCAGGAATTCGGGCTCTGAATCATCTGCCGTGTCCACCGCAGAGCCCTTACTTACAGAACTACAGCAAGAGGCTTGTTCTTTGCTTTTCTTCCTCCACCAAAGGACACTCTTTCCTTCCCTTGGTTTCTCGGAGTAAAACCCCCAACTCCGAGGTAACAAAGCCCAAGGGATTGGGCTCTCTGGTTTTTTTTTTTTTGGGGGGGGGGCGGTACGAAGTTAAGCATAAAGGTGGTATAAAGCACCAGAGGTCATTCCTCAAATGCCTTTGCACTTTGCCAGAAGGTCGCTGTTGACAACTCTGAGCAACATGTAAAGCTCAACAGCTTATCAGGAGGAATATTAATTCAAGGGCTGTTTCCTTCAGCATCTGTGTTCTAAATCCTGGAAGATTGATACAGCTGGCAAGGTTGCAGGGATTCAGCCCATTTTTCTATGAACATTTTGATCTAATGGAGCACAGCAAAGTTGGGAAGGGGGAGAAGCTCTCAGCAGGGACAATGAATGTCTATATAATTTGACAGCAGGCTGTCTGTGCCTATCACGGGATGTGTCATTGTGAGTCTGTGCACCAGCTTGGGGAGACACCACAAAAAGACAGACAGAAGAAGAGTCAGGGGCACATCACAGCGTGTTATAAGAAATTCATGTGAGGGTTTGAAAAAAACGTCTTCTAATATTAATAAAAAGTTTTAAATTGCTGGGTATGTGCAACTTTCTCGGTTTGGGGTGCGGAGAGTTCTAATTACTGAGCTGACAAATATGAGCTGTGCCTGGAAACATTTTTAGCCCGTTTTTATTTTAATATGTCTCTGGTGCAAAGAGGCATTTTTCTTTCAATAGAGCTGCTTGGTAATGTGTTCAGCACATCTGACTTACAGACTTTTTTTTTTTTTTAAGATTTATTTATTTTAGAGAGAGAGCAAGTAGTGGGGGGGCAGAGGGAGAGAAAGGGGAGAGGGGGAGAGAACCTTGAGCAGACCCCACAGCGAGCATGGAGCCCCATGCAGGGCTCGATCTCACAGCCCTGAGAACACAACCTGAGCTGAAACCAAGGGTCGGATGCTCAACCGAATGCACCACCCAGGCGCTCCCAAGACTTACAGACATTTCTAAGCCTCACGCTTGTTTTCCCATGATAAGAATAGCTGAAGGTCATCTAGGAAAAGGGTTTCCTTCTCTCAAGACCAATGAGGTCTTTAAGGTGAGGGGAGAGACTATGGGTCTTGAGCAGCTGTATTAACCATGTCTTTTATATTCTGTATTCTGATACTTCAACATCCAGGGCCTCGCTGACCTCGAAGGAACTGCCCCTCCCAGAGATAGCCAGTTCCTAGAGATGGTAAAGAACTTGCCTGAGAGCAGACCTTTCATATACAAGCCAACCGATCCGGAGTCTGCACCACCTTATCAGGCCGTCCTATTCCGGGCCACTAGCCACCTGTCCTGTCACCCCAGAGCCAGGCACCGGGCAACTGAGGACAGCTGTGTGCCCCAGAGCCTGCCCAAGTTACTCAAACCAGCCGATCCTAAACCGGCCCACCCTGCCTCGCCTGTTCCTTCACATGGAAACCGCCATAAAAACTCCTGCCCAGCGTTCCCCCCTCACTCCCCCTGCCTCCTGCCCGACCCCAGGGCTCCCCCGGGAGTCCCCCCACTGGGCTGTGGCTGCCCTCAGGAAGGTGAGATAGGAACATTATCTTTTCCATGGCAGTCCTTCTCCGACCTGTTGGCCTCCCTGGACCCGAATGATAATAAAGCCTCCATTTTAAAGCAGCAGAGCCTCTGATGGACTGTGGCTCAAAGCACAATTTTGAAGAAGAATTCTCTCTGCTGGGGCCTAAGAGGGTAAAGCCCTGTTTTTGAAGTTCTCCAAGAACGCACACCTCTCAGCAGGGAAAACTGGCCTGGAAAATGATTATGTGGTTACAGTGATCTGTTTAGTGGAGAGAAGACCCCACCTCACTGTGCTGTTTTAGGAGAGTTTATCACCCCGCTCCTTTGGCCTCCTGCCCCCCCCCACCCTACACACATACAGAATGCAAAGCCTTAACATGGGGCACCGTTAGGATTTCCCAGCAGGGCACTCTCTGGTATCTTGGCGAAGTGACTATGTATCTGAAATGTACCCCTGGGGGAGTCGCCAACAAATCCTGAGCTGGTTGAGTTTAAAAGTTCCAATTTGGCCACGTGTCTATTTTCGCTTTGCTCGTTAAGAGCTTTTACCTTGGAATTCATGGGGCTACTTAAGGGTCAGTTACTGATATCAGGCTCAAAAAAGAAAAGGAAACAGAGTTTCTTGCACAGAGGGGATGAACACAAATGGGGCGGATGGCTCAGGACCCGAAAACTCCATGACACTGGTACATTTCCTGTACTTTGCAGTTTTACCTATAGCCGACCTTGCTACCAAAATATGTACCAACCAACAGACGCCCAGGGTGGCCAGATCTTGGAAACACACATGCAGGATGTAAGACAGTTTGTCTTTTTGTGCTTTCTAATGAATTCCTGTTCATTGTCACTGTACCCACAGAACGTGCTGAATAAATTGGAGGTCCCGGGAGATCACACCTGATTTCAATCCCAGTGATGAGCTACATTATGTGCACTCGTTTGGTAAGCTACAAACTCTGCTTTTCAATTGTCAGCACACAGTCTGAATGCAAGTAGAATGCAATCAAGTACAAATCAGCGCGTCTGGACGTTAGTCTTGTTTTGAAAGAGAAATAGTCATAAATGAACAGCTGATTTACCAATTCAGAAATGTATTACATCTTGGCCAATGGAAGAAGTTAAGATCCCCACTTGTCCAGACTTGACGTGAAGCCAACTTAGCTGTACATGGAATTTTGGTGCCATTGCATTTTATTTCCTGAACCTTCTTAAAAGCCCAGCAAATACCTAGACCTGGAATAATGTTTGGCATTCCTCTTAGGATGAAAACATGTCAGCTTCAAAAATATAAAACCATTTACTGAACACAGTTAGTGAAAGTAACACCTTTTCTGGAAAAATCCTAGTCCTCTTTCTTCAGCAAATCAGAAACAAGGAACACAGAAAATTAATCAAGGGGCCAACAAGCGTGGAGAGGGGCTAAGGAGTTTCATCCGAATCAAGCAACATAAACTCGTTACTTATCCAAAGAAGGAGTGAGTAACTACTTACCAACACCTTGTCTTGATTTTACTTTCCCAAATCCAAACCATGAGAAATCTGAAAACCACAACAAAACATAAAATAAACTTCGAAAGAGAAGCGTAAACCAAGGGTATTCAGCAGTGTCCTTAGTGAAATAACAAACTCTCTGAAAAAGCTCCATTGGGAACAAAAGCTTCCTCTCAAACACCTGGAAACTAATGCTTGAATTTTTGTGTAAAGATTTATTTCTCATCCTGAGAGCATGGATATTTGACTCAGATAAGATACAGTAGCCTGTCTTTGAGAAAAATGGCCAAAACCCAGAGTTAATGGCTCTGAGCGGTTTTCTTTCTTTCTTACTTTCTTCCTCCTGAGTATCGAATCATCTAACTAAGCTCTAGGGGTGAAAATACACAACGCATTTGACAAATGCACTACGGTTCTCAACTGCAGCAATGTGGGAAGATAATAAGAGAAAACAGATCTTTTGCGAAGCGGAGACAGTAAAAAAAGGAACATGTAATCCTGTGGGAGAACGGACATTTGGGCTGGATGGGGATTCAGGAAGCAAAAAAAGGGGATCTTAATTCTACACGGATTCTACCACTGATTTGCTGTGTGGCGATTGGCAGTTCACAAAGGCTCTGTGCTTCTACTAACACAAAACTCCACTCAGCACATGTAAATAAAGATCTGACAAATGGTTGGAGGTCCTCTGGGGAATAAAGCCACAGTGAAATGCCTATTTGTTTCCTGGGCCTGACTGTTCCCCTCTACGAAATTTCCACTGGGTTCAAAGTGAACTCTACTCAGCGGGGAGATCCCTGGATAAGAGGCGGATAAAGCGTAGGGAGCCCAACTAAGTAACTGTTTCTCAGATCTTCAGATCTACAGTGATTTTTGCAGGCGGTGAAGATGCAAAGCTGTGTAGAAGATTTAAGTGAATTTAAGTGAAACAATGAATACGAAACTCTCTGCATGCTAAAAAATAGCGAGGTTGTCATCATGATTACTCTTTTTTCCAGTATAAGTTAGCTTTCTTCCTCCGGTAGCCTACAACATTGGCTCTAGAGCCAAACTCTAAGGCGATTTTTACTTCTGATTGATATTCCTCTGAATGCTTTCTTCCAGGTTTGAGAAGACAGGATGAAGGTCTGGCCTCTATCCAATGCCAAATAAAGATCCCTTTACACAGAAGACAGTGACCCTCATTCACTGTGTCTTCAGTCTCGCGAGGCAGGGCTGTGCCCATGGCTTTCTCAGTTACCACGAATCCTTTTGAAAATGGAGTGTATTTCCTACTGGTCAATTTTGTTTTGTTTTTTTGTATATTTGTTTGATTTACATAGCTTTCATTAAACAGTAGAATGAATTTTTTAAGACTGCCTTTCTCACTTGAGCATTCTTTTCAAAATTGTTCCTATCTTACAGAGAACCCACTGAAGGACGATGCCCTAGCAGTCCCTCACTGACTGTACATTTCGGATTATTGTCAATCATTATAATAAACATGGCTGCAAAGGGACACCTGTCCACATCTTAGGTACATCCACCCCCACTTTCAAAAAGTCGTTCCTTCAAGATAAATCCAAGAAATGGAATTTGTTAGTCCAAAGGGATAGATAATGTTAAGGTACCCAACCCACGTAACTCAACTGTGTTCCCTCCATATCTGGTCGTAATTTTAACAACAGTGTGTGAGATAGTAGGAGTGTATTTTCACACTTCACCCAGTGGGAAATCAAAGGGTGAAACCATTTTCTACTTCCATCCTGCCATCGGTGCGTCTCCACCTAACTGAACAGAAATAGCAAACACTCCCTCCCACCTTTGCCACACGGGATGCCTCACACCCCACGTCTCCTAGGCTGGCATTGGGCGTGTAAGGGGAACACAGATATGAAGAGGGTCAGAGGCCCTCTGACCTGTCCTGACATTTTAATTCACCAAGTGCCTCCCCCACACAAGACCCTTCTCCCTTCGTCTTCAGCCAGACCCTCTAACATATCATCCTCTGTTCATTGGCAAGGAACTAAGACTCACAGAGGCTGACGGACCGAGCAAAGGTCACAGCATGTAGTAACTGAGCAGACTCAAATCTGGTTTTTTTCATTTCTTTCACAGTTGCCTTTCCGATCTTCCAAAATGCTTAGCCAAAATTAGCCAAGACTGACAACATTGCAGTCAGGATTCAATTTTATATATAGAAAAGCACGATATGTAGTCATTCATTCTCACTTGTTTATTCAACAGGTGTGAACCTGTGTAAAACCTTTGAACACGACAGACTCCATTTGGAGACTAAAACTTCATCCTGCTTTTAGAAACAGGAACTACATTGAGCTATTGAAACACGCAACAGCGTTATAACACAGGGCTGGGGAATCCGCATTCTGGATAAAAACTGGACACTCTGCAAAAGATGTTTTCCTAGTAATTGACATCATGTACTCAGAAAACCAGTGATATAAAATGTCATTACATCTTCCAACCATAGCTTTTGGGAAACCAACTTGTGTATGTTTCCTAATACTTCTGCCATCTGCAGAATAAAGACCCCTGGCTTGTACCCCTCAATGGGACACAGTTGGGGTTGCTACCTGAACCTATGCTCCCCAAATTACAAGTCTAAGACCCCTTCCTCAAATGCTTTTGTTTTATTTCAGTTCTTCCTTTCTTTCTTGCTCAACACAGGTATAGCAGAGAATTCAAAGATAAGTGAGCTGCCCTCATTCGGACCTGCCCTCAGGGGGGCTGACAATTAAGGATCAGCTCTCTGAGAAGTATGTCCAGGGTGCATGGGGACTCAAAGGAAGAGCATGCAATCCACAATCTAGGGGAGGTGGTCAAGGGGGAGTTCTCTGGCTTCTGGGTAACAGATTACAATTAGCCAAGAATGGGGAAAAGCCGAGAGGGTCAACTTAGAGCTAGAGTGGGGAGCCCTGTATGTTTCAAGGGGTGAGGCATCTGGAAAGGGTAGGAAACTGAAAGACAGAAGCAAGGGCCAGGCCAGGAGTTTGGGGTTTAGAATGAAAATTGCAGGTAAGCTCTAAACAAAACAAAAGGAAACACCCTTGGGCCAAGTAGTAGTAACATGATCAAGCTGAATTGTAGAAAACTCATTTTGGCTGTAGGATGGAAACAGGATGGTGAGAAGGAAAGATGGAGGGCAGGAGAGCCATTAAGGAAGCTTCTAGAAGATGTCAAGCCATGAGAGAGCTGTGGCCTGAACCAGGTCCTGGGGAGGGGGCACGGGGACAGGAGATGGCCAATAGGCCTATTCAGGAGAATCGGCAGGACTTGGTAACTGATGGCATGTTGAGGGGAGTAGGGGAGGTGAACACAAATGGTTTTGGGGTTTGGACAATAGGACATATAATGTTGCTGCCTGGAGTGTCTGCCAGGAACTCAGAACTCAGCTGAGTGGCTAACCTAAGAGCATGGCTGTGGGGCACAAATCCCAGATAAGGCGTCTCTGTGGAGAAACATCCAGTGTTTGGACCTCAGGTCTGGAGCTTGGGACACAGGTCTAAGGCCCAAGTTCTAGAGCTTACTAACTGGAGAACGCAAGCTGGATGCTGTACCTAGGACACATTTCTTGTCTGGGCAAATAAAAGCCCCTCTTTTTTTGTAGGCACAAACGAATGGGCATCCAACTGCAGCTAACTCTTGATAAACCTAATCCTAAATTGCTAAAATATGTCTAAGTTCTCTTTAACAGTGACACAATTATTATGAAAGAGAGAATAGAATCTTCTTGGCCATTGTCCAGATTTCTTGGAAAATATAAGAGACCAGATATAGCAAGGTCACATTGGTCCTCTCCCCCCTCCTCCCCCGGAAGCTGTCCCTTGTTCGATGGGTCTCTCTTGATGGATTCAAGCAGTAGTCTTAAGACCTTAATACTAAATTTCACCAGCAAAATTCTCCCACAAGGCCAAAAAGAAACAATTTCTCAATTTCCTGTGATGTTTCACCCACTGGGAGTAGAGTCCTGCCAAGCATTCTTCTATTTGCTGCTTAATAAGAGATACTTTATTCACTGCAAAATAAAGGGCCCCTTCAAAAGCAAATGTAGTTGCAGTGAGCTTGAAGGAACTCCTCTTTCTGCAATCAAGACCGACAAGGACTCTAAATTATGAAATTAACCAATTAAATCCTTCTCCTATTGAAGAAAGTCCAATCTTCCTTCACCAGAGAAGGAGAATGTAGAAAAAAAATAATGCATTAACACCTTGATAACTCTAAGAGGAGAGCCAAAGTAAATGGTAATAAAGATTGCTTTTCCAATGTCTCTCAAAGGAAACAGCTGAAAAGTAGGGGGATGGAAAGGAGTATTTAGGATACAGGCGAGAGAGTCACAGGCAGGAATGTGAAAAGGGCAAGGTGGAAGAAACCCAATCCTCCCCGTGGGCGCTGAATCACACAGACTCTAAACATGATCGTCAGAACAGTCCTGATCTCCAGACAATGCAGGTTCTGGATTTTTTTTTCTTTTTCTAAGTTTCAGAAAAATTGTTTCAGTATGTTAGGAGAAAAAAATCAGCTTTCCTCCCTTTCAACTTGGGAGAAATTAAAATTTGCTGTGTTCTCAAACGTAATTTCTTTGTATCTTCAAGCAAGACTCACCACCCTCCACCCCCAAGAAAAGCATCTCTAACACCGTAGTGGGAGCAAAAGGGAAAATATGGTTCACTGACAGAATGTACCTCACCTCCAACTTCCCGGCGCCACACCCACTCCCTAAAGGACACATGAGTGAGGAGCCTCTGAGCTGCCTTTCCCCTCCAGGGAAAGTGTGAACCAGTGTTGAGCCCAGAGTAGACAGTAAGTGCTGGATTGAGTAGCTGAGTACCTGTCACCTCAAAGAAACAGGAGGACTGGTCTTCGGAGGGGAGGGAAATGAATGCAAAGAATCACTTTGTTGACAATACGATCATCTCCCTTTCCAACTGACACATAATCGGAGTGAATAAGAGTTTATTTCAAATGAATTCCAGCTCTTCGGGGCACAGAATAGTGGAATCTGGGGCCAAGATTCGACTTCAATTTAATCTTAATTTTTCACTTAAGGACA